GAGGGCAGTGTCACTGGCCCTCATATGTGGGATCCAAACCGGGGCCCTCTGGCGTCCCAAGCCAGTTCTTAACCAATGCGCCACTCGGCCTACCCTATACTGCCCCTTTTTAAATGATCAAAGCGATACACACAAGAGACCAACTAGTGTTTTAACTTCGTACTCTTTTAAGAAGCAACTTCTTGCAATCAGCTGACTATGTCCCTGTCTCCTCCAAGTGGGGGTGGGGGTGGAGAGTGGGGTAAGAGAGAATCTTCTTATGTGTGTGGGGAGGCAGATCAGATGCACAAAAAGCATGAAGTGACTTTCCTAAGGTTTCACGATAATCTGATGACTGAATGGGTTCCAGAAATCCACTTCAGCATCACTACTGCTGGACCCCATTTTGCTCTGGCCACAACAGCAAAGCTTATCTTGTGGGAAGTATCCAGTTTTCAAACCAGCAACATAAGCCTAAATGGTTTATTAAAATTCCCTTATATTAATGGTGTTGGTCTTCCGTGATGCAATTCCTACATTAACCACATGGTGATGCTGCAGACAGATTTAGGTATTTCTTGGGGAAAAGGGGTTTAAGAATATTTGTAGTGTTTTTATAAATTATACAATAGTACAGCCACACGATTAAAGTTTATGCAGCCATTTAAAAGAATGAGATAAAGCCATATGCCTTTAAAGGATCATACTCAAGATATGCCACTGAGAAAAAGCAAGTCACTAAGCAATATGAAGAGCATGCTTGTATTTGTCTAATTAAAAAAAAGAATATAATTACATATGCAGGTACATGCATAATTTTTTCCTGATAGTATATAAAAAAGAGGCTGTTAACAGTTATTGCTTTGAAGAGTGGGAGTGGGGTCCAGAGGAAGGGAAAGTGTGTTTCCTTTTGATTTTATAACTTTTAAAATTATTTGATTTTTAAAATGATTTGCATTCATTAATTTAAAAATCATTAGTACAAAAACAATCCAATTGCTGTAAAAATTTAAATACTGCAGAAGTTAATAGAAGTCCCTTCTCCCCACCTCTTAGTCCCATCCCAGAGGAAGGGTAACCCCAGATATGAGTTTTGGGACTGTGTTACTCAGAGTGTGCTTTCCAGATCAGCAGCATCTGTATTATCTGGGAAGTTGCTAGAAATGCAGATTATTGTGCCCCACCCATGACCTGCTCAAACTCCATAGTGGGGCCAAACAATCTGTGTTTTAAAAAGCCCTTTTGATAATTTTGATACATGCTCAAAATTGAGAACCATTTTGTTTAAGCAGGTTACATCAGATTTTTTTGAGGGGGTGGGGTAGGGGGCGGAGAGCTTGAGAAGACTCCTGCTGGGGAAAACTAATAACTCAAAATGGTGTATCCCCATTCATCCAGCAAGCAGCATTTTGAGTCCACTGTGACCTCTATTTTGGGGTTGAGCAATTGACCATACTCTCACAGTTTGGAGGCATTATGTAGAAAAGAGGAACATGCTAGAGGGAGAAAGGAAAAAAGAATGTAGGAGAAACTAACAGGAGGATGAGTCGGGAAAGAAAAAAATGGCAGAGAATGCAGATTTAAAAAATCATAATTTGGCAAATAGATGACACATAACTCAGGGCCACTTATTCATTGATTTAATAAGCATTTATAATGTTTCATTCTAAATCTGTGTCATTATGCTCATTTCCTTCCTCTGACCCACACATTTCATGGTCTATCATTTACAAAATGTGATTGTGTCATTATTTCTTACACCATCGGTGTCCTCACATTAGGGAAGTGTTTGCCAGTGATCCCGGCTCCCTGGGCAAAAAGTCATGAGTTTTCAATGCTGCTGAAAAGAGCCATAATCTACCTATGCTAGTAGAGAGCTGCACGCACGTGTGTGTGTATGTGTGTGTGTGTGTGTGTGTGTGTGTGTTTTGAAGAGTTTTGCCCACCGTGGAGGTATGAGGTATGGTAAGAGACGAAGTACACATAAAAGCACTTTGGATGCAGCAGTATTAACAACCAAGTCAACAGATACTAAGCTCAGATGGAAGGGGATCTCCTTGTGTTCCTCAAATACAATCCTAGTTCTACAGACTTGCGTCCACTGCACAAGAACCTGGGGCAAGTTCTTTCAACTAGGCACAGAAAATCGGAAAAATTTCATACAAAAGGGAGGAGTTCTCATTGGGTGTAGGGGAAAACATTAAATAATTGTGACTGTGGAAACTCAGACCAAACAAAGCTTTGAGTATTTTTAGCCTAATTTTTCTGATAAAATACACATAATTTCCCTGCCACTTCCAAAATATTGTTCTGTCTCATGAAGGTGTCTGTCCCAGTCAAAGAACCAGCATTTGTTTTGTCAGGGGGAAAGGTTGTGATGGGGGGATTTAGCATTTAAGGCTGCTCTATCTTACTTAGTTCCATATTTTTTTTTAGCTGAGCCATCCTGCCACCTGTTGGCAGCTCAGCGGCAGCTCAGCTTGGCTGTGAATCGAACCCGCTACCCTTTTGCTCAGAGCTCGCACTCTTGAGCAAGCGCTTAACCAACTGAGTCACTCAGCTGGCCTATGTTCCATTTTTTTAATTTGATGACATCTGCAAAAGGTTAAGGGCAACAACTTATTAAACCGGATATTTGACACATTGAGGCACTTTGTTTTCTTATATTTTAAACAAGTGAACATTAATCTTATAGAATCCTAGAATTGTAAAGCTGGAGCCACCTTAGAGACCATCTCTGACCCACAAATATTGCCTTGGGGAGTTCTGAGAAAAACGCAATGCCCAGGCCCCAAGCGCCAACTGAATCCGAATCTCAAAAGGTGGGACCAAGGGGGCATCTCTAGTTTTACAGCGCCACAAGTGATTCCAACAAGCAGCCAGGATTGAGAAACAGCTCTTGTTAAGAAAACAGATTCCTAGCACTGCCACAGACCTACTGTTTCAGAATCTCTGGGGAATGAGGTACAGAAATCTGTATGTTATTAAAAATCCCCAGAAACTAACAATTGAGAAGCGGAGCAAAACACAAGAACAACAGAAAACAAAAACAAATTTAAAAAAGAGAAGCAGTGCTTTATCCCAATTTGAGATTTTTAAATCTCAAGTTTTTGAATCTCAAGTTTTTGAATGTTTTCATTTGTTGAATATTTTAGGTTTCATATGTTCAGCTGTTAAGTACACCAAATAGTATGTTTAGTATGAATTCATTAAAGAATATTTACATTTGTATATGCATAGGAAAAACAACTGGAAGGAAGGAAGGAAGGAAGGAAGGATAAACAGTGTCTCTCTCTGGGTAGTAGGAATATGCATGATCTTTTTTTTCTCTCCTTATCTTTCTATTTTATTTTACTTTATCTCATTTTCTTTCTTTCAGTATTTAAAGAAGACTTCCTTTTTCTGAGTTCAATTTCCCCATCTGAAAAACAGGGTGTTGTAATTTAGTGAACTTCAAGGCCACATCTTGCTCTGGCGGTCAGTGGCTCCTCCATACTACCCACTAGCTCTGTTGGCCATTTAACAGCATGAACTGCATAGGTAACAACAGTGTTTGGAGAATCATCATGTATGATTTTTGTATACATTACGTTGTGATGCCTAGTAACCATTTCAACACGAGCAAAATTATTCTCTTCTTCCTCAAGGAGTCGGAACTGAAATAATCTCTACTATCTACACCCACAAAAGTTCATCCGCTCTCTTTAGCCTCAGACAAAGCCGTCCACGCATATCTCTTAGGAGCCTAAGAATGATTGTGAACCAAAAAGCCAGGGCGTGGTCGTCCTAGCCACCCGCCCCTACATCATCACCACCCCTTTCGCCGCTTTTAAGCGCGCAGATAGGCTAAAGACAAGAAAGAGCCCCGCCCCTAGTCTTATGACCCGCGCTGAAGCTCCTAGTCCTGGCTTTTGCAGCAGTGAAGTCGGTGGTCGGTGGCTGTCTTTTCCCGTTTCTTCTGCCTTTTTCGTGGCGTTGCTGCTCTCGTCGCCGTCGCCGCCCCCTACTCTGCAGGATCATGGTGTGCTTCCGCCTCTCCCCGGTTCCGGGCTCGGGGCTCGTTCTGCTCTGCCTCGTCCTGGGTGAGTTGTCGGGCCCGCCTGCTCAGTCTCTCCGCCTGGGCTCTGGGCGCCCAGTTCAAAGGCCACAACTGGCAAGACTGGTCCTAGGGGGAGGTGCTTGGGAGGCTGAACAGCTGACACTGGGCGGTGGAGCTTGCCCTGGGGTGGGGAGCGGTGACCTAGAGAAGGCCTGACCGAGGGATGGCGGGGGAAGAAAGGCCCATGAGAATAAGAAGGGGCAAGTAAGGGGGGGTGGGGTGGACGCCGAAGGAGTAGGAAGAGTAACTTGGGGAAGATATTAAGGGGTGAGCGTAGGAGGGTATTACATGCAGATTCTGGGGTGGCAGAGACAATTAGGAGAGTCCTGGTTTCCTATGATCAGGGAAGAGTTTTGATGGTGGAAAAGTGTGCAGCGAGAGAGAAAATTGGAGAGGGAAGAGACTGCTTGCTTGGGGGAAGGGTGGCAGATATGATAGTAGAGTTTGAGGGACAGTGAGAGGGTTGGGGCTTTTGTGGGTAAGAAGTTGAGGCTGTGGAGGAAAGATGGTTAAAGAGATGAGGAATGGTGCTGCATTTGTTTGGTAGTTGGAGTTTTTTTTTTCTTTTAATTATTTTTTATTGTGAAATACACATTTTTTAGAATTAGTTTCAGCTGTACAACGCAGTGCAATAGTTGTACTTTTTACCCCTCAAAGTGACAACCCCCTCCCCCAATCCGCCGCCCCACTTCTCCCCCAATATCATACATATCTATTACAATTCCCTTGACTCCACTCCCACACTATACTCCACGTCCCATGACTATATATATATATATATATATTTATATATTCCCTTATAGTTGACATACAATATTATACAACATCAGCTTCAGGTGTACAGTGCAGTGATCAAGCCTCTTCCCCATCCATGATGCGGTCTCCCTAGCAAGAAATGTGACCACCTGACACCCTACAAAATATTTACAACATTATTAATTATATTCTTTGGGTAGTTGGAGTTTTGAGGGGGAAAGGAATGTAAGGTGGCAGGGGCAATTTCCAGGTGAGAAAACTCGGGCCCAACCTCTGGAGACTAAAGTGATGAGTGGAAACTTCGGTGGGGAGTGAATATCTGACTTGGAGGTGTTGAATATGTCAATGTTCTACAGTTTTGCTACTTCCTCCTGGCCAGAAAGTCCCAAGATGTTTCAATTGGGAGGGCCTCCTAGATGTGAGATTTTAGAGGTGGTGTATCTGAATCTTGTATACTGCCTCTCTGCTTTCAGAAGTTCGCTTTCTTCTTCCCTATGATACAACTGGCCTATTACCTGGTCTGGGGAGGAGGAGGGTAGGTAACTTCCTAAGGTTTGGGTTGTTACCAGGTCCTCAGAATGGCTGGGTGAGTGTTGGCTGATTGTGCTGTGATACCCTCCCCCTATAAGCAGTGGGTCTCTGCTGACTTTAATGCCTGAAAGGTGAACTTTGACCAGAATGTCTCTTCCTGACCTGATTCATCCTATTTGTCGCTATCCGCTGACTCTGGCTGTAACCTAATTAAAACAAAAACAACAACAACAAACAAATAAAAACCAGAAGGAATAGACCCAGATGGGAGTGGAGAAGAAATAGATATATTAGGGACCTGAGAAGACAGTGAGAGATACACATCCTGTAATTCACATTTCAGTAGAATGAAATCAACACCCTTGAATGGTGGATTCTCAATCAGGGAACATTTAGCAATATCTGGAGACATTTTTGGTTGTCACAACTGGGGATTGCTTTTGGCATCTAGTGGGTAGAGGCCAGGGATGCTTCTAAATATCCTACAATGTACAGGACAGCTTCCCTCCCCCCAAAAAAAGAAGGATCCATCTTAAAATGTCAATAGTGCCAAAGTTGAGAAATCTTGCTCCAGCCATAGCATTGGAAGGGTTCTTGATGATCTGATCTAGTGATTCTAAAGGATCTTTGCTGGGGGCCTGTCAGATCAAAACTATTTCCAAAAGAATACGAAGAAGTTATTTGTCTTTTTCACTCTCATCCTCTCACGCGTGCACAGTGGAGTTTTCCATAGGCTACATAATAAGTGATGACATCACCCTTCTGTTGGCTCTGATATTGTGTTTTATTTACTTCTCAGTTTTAACTTCTAATAATGCAAATATCAATAGATATAACGCACATAAACCGAAGCTCTTTGAGCTCCTCAGTGAATAAGAGAGTAAAGGGGGTCCTGACACCCAAAACATTTGGGAATCCTTGATCTAGTCTGCTGTCCACACAGTGCAGGAAACTCTTCTCTAGCCCTGTAAAGGGAATGCGGAGGCTTTGTTTAAGCACAATACAAAGCTTTAACATTACTGTGAAGCACTTACTGAAGGCCCAGCAACCCTAAGAGAGGCTTGTTTACCAGAAAAGCACTTTATCAGTGTCTAGAACACATCTGAACAAAGCATGTTAACCAGCAATTCATTGCCAATTGAATCTGCACAAGCACAACATTGTTACTGTTTAGAGAAAGTGAAAAAAATAGTTGTTCTACTTGTTTTTCATGTCATTACTTTTTTTAATGAAAGCTTTTTGTTTTATTTTGTTTTTACAAAAGCAATGCTTGCTTATTGCAGAAAATAAACAGGGAAAAACAAGCACATAAAAGAACCCATCAGCTCATCTGCTAGTTTGCCAGTTATTGATTGGGACTAACTAGATTCATCTTCTTGGAAGATTTCCAAGATTGATTACCTTCACGTCCAAGTTCAAAACAGTATTTGGAAGAGTAAAAGTTAATAATATACCCAGATCAAATTTTTAAAAAGCACCAGGATGAAATAGAAATCGCCTCTTCTGTACGGCTGCTTTTTCTGACAGCTGGTGGTTCAGTGTGGTGCTCAAACTCCTTCCGTGTGGTTTTGTCTCTTGAGAATTTAGCAGGTTTTCAGTTGCTTGGTGCATTTTGCATGTTGCTTTTATATATCAAAATTGCAAGAATGGGTTTTTGAAAACTCAGTAAATATTTGTTAAGTACCTGTTATGAATGTCATGTTGTTCCTGGGTACTGCAGAGAGTACCCATGAGGGAGGATCTGTACTGAATTTATAGTCTCGTTAACATTAGTGCTCTAGCTGTGCTGCTTTTACTTTGTGACTTTATAATTCTACCCAAGCTCCACTGGTAACCCTACTTTTTAAAAATGACTGCTTTAGAGTAAGGATAGAAAAGAATTCTTAGAGTCTATATATTGGTCTTTTCCACAGAGATTAATTTATGCTGATATTTATTTTAATGAATTGTAACTGAATAGAGAACTTTCTGGAGAAGAGCTATATATAGACATTAGGAAGAGAGTAGTGGATGAAAATCCTTTCCTAGCATCATTGTCTAACTGTTCCCTTTTTGTGACATTATAGATTTCAGAATTCTTTTGTGGTTATTGATTCTTATAACTAGTGACTTCTGGTTTTTATAGCGTTGAGGCTTTTTGGGGCAGGGAAAAACCTCATAGAAATATCCTGAGTGTGTGCTTCACTGGTTGGAACCACTCTCTCTCACAAATGTTTATGGAATGCCTACTGTATACCAGCCACTATACTAGGTGAAAGGGATAGATAGAGCAACGGGAAAGACAGATGAGGTTCCTGCTCTCATGGAGCTTACATTTTAGTGGCAGAAGACATATCAACAGATAAATAATATAATTTCAGATAGTGATAAGCACTGTGGAGAAAATGCAGAAGGTGATTCGGAAGAAGAATGGGCAGATAATAAGAGTGATGATGGGTTCAGAAGGCCTCCCATTGTTGTGTGACATTTGAGCAGAGACCTGAGTGTTGGAAGGAGGTCAGCCAGGTGAGCATCTAGATCAGCAGTTCTCAACCTGTGGGTCGCGACCCCTTTGGGGGTCGAGCGACCCTTTCACAGGGCTCGCCGAAGACCATCGGAAAACAAAAATATATTTACATTACGATTCATAACAGTAGCAAAATTACAGTTGTTATAGAGTAGCAACGAAAATAATTTTATGGTTGGGGGTCCCCACAACATGAGGAACTGTATTAATGGGTGGTGGCATTAGAAAGGTTGAGAACCGCTGATCTAGAGGAATAGGAGTAAATCTTGTCTTTCCCAAACTCTTAGGTTATTAGGCTAGTCTGTTTTCTACTTTTTTTTCTTCCAGTACCAGTCAAGTCTCACCTATGGTATTAGTTTCTGAGAACGGAGACTATCTATGTACTGTTAATTGCCTGTGCCTCCAGCACAGGGCCTGGTACACGGTTAATTCTCCGTAAATTTTTGCTGAGGGTATTCATTGGTAGGCACTGGGGATATGATGGTGAACTAGACCAAATTGGTCTCCTTATTCTTGTTGAACCTTAAGTTATGTTTTGCAAGTTTTTTTTGGTGTCTTTGGGTTGAGAAGTTCAAGATCAGTGCTAAGAAATACAGATAATTATAAACCTACTTACTAAAGTATAATCTCATATAAAATGATAGTATCTTACCTGTACCCCTTTTGATATACCTACATAGCAGAGAAGGTTAACATGGAGAACTAGGAAGTCCTTGATGAGAAGGAGAATAAGGTTTTCACAAAGAATCAATCTCTCTCCTTTTGAAAGTGGTATAAAAGAAAATGTAAACACTGAGATTTTTCTGTAGCTTACCACATTTGGTTGAACTGATTTCAAGGTTCTCCTAAAATTATTCTATCTATAATAGAGCTACTTGAAAGGATAGGCTTATTATTCTTTCGGGAATCATTGGTTATCACACCTGATAAGATTATAGATATTCAAATATTTCCCATGAGTACAGCTTCCTCCCTCTATATCCTTGGGTGGAATTTGTGATCAAGGATTATTTTACAGCACTGTGGCTGACTTAAGTGATCTTCCTCCTATTGTCACAAAAGCATCTCAATCATAATTTTGTACTAAAGTGATCAGAGATCTCTTCTGATCCAAAAGTATACTTTATTTGCACTTGTTGGTATCCTGCTGTGAGTTGCAAAAGAGTTCTAGAGGTCTGCCAGATACCACT